GCACACACCATGCATCCAGCTCAATGTGTTTCAATTTAATAAAAAATTTTATAAAGCTACCCATGTCAAAATGTATAGTACATATACCTTTTAGCTAACAAATTCTGCTAAGGAGAAGATAAGCAACTACTATATAAGAAGAGATATGGATGCTAGGTTGTTCATTATACCATTGTTTATAATAAGAAAGTCAAAGAATACAACAAGATATCATCCATCAATGAAGTATTTGTGATTCATATAACAATGATTCATATATACAACAGTATACACTGCTATAACTAAAGAAAAAAGAAGCCAATCCATATACTTATTTACATGGAGAAATGTCACCACATAACACTGAGTGAAAAGGGCAGCCACAATGACGATTCCCTCTCATATATGAAGTATTAAATTTTCCTTATTCCCTAATAAACAAATTCACAATATCCATTGTTCCCATTCCCTATGATGGCCAAGATATCCTTAACAGCTTCCTAGCATTGTCCTTGTTACCCTTCATTAGATAAATCATTTCTCCTCATTTAGCACCAATAGGACTTCCATCCTGTCAGAAAGAGAGGAAGGCACCAGGAAGCCATCTTGTCTGAGACAGTTTTCATCACTAAAGTTGGCCCTACTAGCATCATGGAATTGAAGATCAAAGTTCTTACAGCCACTCTTAACCAGTGATATCCCCCAGGTTCCTTTCTTATTCTTCCTCTTTATTTTTGAATACTCTACGTGATTGGTCTTATTCATCACAGTCTTAGGAAGACATCCTCAGAAATAGATCCTGAGTTGAGTATGTGCAGTTAAGTGATTGATTAAAGAAATGCTCCTAAGCAGCCTATTCAAGGAGTGGGAAAGCAGGACAGGGAATGGGAACAAACCAAGCAAAGGTGCAATTTGGGGCAAATTTTTGGATGGCAAATTATACTTACTTCATAGTTTGCCCCCAATGGAGACAATAAAGCTGGGCTCTCATACTTCTGTACCAGTTGAGCATTTAATAACATCTGCTCCTAAGGGAAGGACTAAAACAACTGGGCACATCCAGCTCTCTGAGTCTACAGACAAAGCTTCCACAGTTCCTGGGGGAAGCCCTTCACAGGCTCAGTCCACTAACACAAAAACCATAAGGAACTGGATAATGCTTGCTAGAAAATAGAAATTATAATGGAAACTCTGTGAAAAAAAAAAAAAGGTTCACTATTAACACCTACAACTTCAAATGGCATGACAAATTTCAAACTGTATCATTACAACAGACCTGTCCTTCAGCCCAAATACCTGACTTCCTTGTCAAGCAAGCTCCACGAACATATGTTGTCCAAAATTGAGCTCATAACCCTATCTTCAAGCACTTCTTGGTGAATTTTACCTTTGCTACCCATAGGCCAATCCAGAAAATTCAAGTCACCTCATCCTTTCATTCATGAAGTCCTCTTAGTTTTTCCTATTAAATATACCTCTTATCTATCTCTGACACTCTTACCTTAGTTCTGGAAAAATATCTCTTCTCTGTCTCCTTGTTATGGTTTGTGACTCCCATATCAATCATGCTACCATAACTTGTCCCTCTCAAATTTATTGCTTACCACATCACTCCTCTGCTTAAAATCTTTCAATGGCTCCTCATTTTGCAAATTAAAATTTAAGAACTTTGTATTTGAGTAAAACTCCATTGTGTATATATACCATATTTTCTCTGTAGTTGAGTAAAACTCCATTATGTATATATACCATATTTTCTTTATCCATTCATCTGTTGAAGGGCATCTGGCTGGTTTCATAACTTGGCTCTTGGGAAATGTGCTGCTATAAGTATTGATGCAGCTGTATTGCTTTAGTATGCTGCTTTTAGTTTTTTTGGATAAATACTGTAGAGTGGGATAGCTGGGTCTACTCCTATTTTTTTGAGGAATCTCCGTATTGCCTTTCAGGATGGTTGTACTAGTTTTCAATCCCAAGAACAATGTGTATCTTTCCCCCCACATCATCACCAGCATTTATTTTTGTTGTATTCTTTGCTTGTCTGTTTGTGGTGCTGGAAATTGAACCCAGGGCCTTGTGCATGTGAGACAAGCACTCTACCAACTGAACTATATCCCCAGTCTATTGTTGTATTCTTGATGATTGCCATTCTTATTGAAGTGAGATAAACTTAATGCTGTTTTGATTTGCATTTTCTGATTACTAGAGATGTTGGATTATATGTATGTATATATATATATATATATATATATATATTTGTTTATCATTTTTTCTTCTTTTGAGATGTGTCTTTTAAATTCTTTTGCCCATTTATTAATCAGGGTATTTTTTTACTCAGTCATAAAAAAGAATGAAATTATATTTGCTGGTAAATGGATGGAACTGGATGACATCATGCTAAATGAAATAAGCCAGACTCTGAAAGTCAAGGATTGAGTGTTTTCTCTCACATGCAAAAGCTGGAGCAAAATAAGGGAGAAAAGCAGCACAGGGATAGTGGGAGGTCCCCTGTAAATAGAAGAGACATGAGTGGAGTTGAGGGAGGGAATTGATGGGGGGCAGGAAAGAGGAGAAAAGAAGAAATGGTGGAATAAAATTGACCAAACTATCCTATGTATATCTATGAATATACCACAGTGAATTTCACTTTTATGTCTATCTATAAAGCACAAATTAAAAAAATAAAAACTACAAATAAATAGAAGACCAGTAGCATAGAGGAAAGTGAAAAGTGGGAGGAAGGTTGGAAGGGAAAGGGAGAAGTACTGGGAACTAAATTAGAGCAAATTATAGTCCATGCTTGAATGATTATATCAAAATGAACCTCAATGTTATGTATAACTATAATGCACTAATTTAAAAATAAAACTAAGAAGTTGGCATTTCTAATTACCTCCATCCTCTTTTGAACTTCCGTCTACTTTTCTAGCACCATCTTCTACCCTTAAAATTTAAAATTTTAAGGCACATTTTAACTGTTTGCAGTTTCCCAAAGTTTCCTTACTCTCTTACACTGGAGGGAATTTCTGAGCACTTGGTTCCCATACTACCTCTTCTGTAAGATGTCCTTGGCATTCCCTTCCTATAGGCTAATTAAATTCCTTTTTTAAAATTCTTATTATAACTTGTACCCTCAAGGCAAAACTTTTTTTATGTCTAGATTACTGCACAATTTGATCTTAAAGGAAAGAAACATCTCGTTCATGGAAGGCCTACTTATCACATGGTCTTATACAGTGTTCTGAGTCTTGCTATTCTGTCTGACCCCTGGCCCCTTATCCATGATCAGGCAATATATTGGTGCACTGGGTACTACTGACGCGAAGATGAGTAAGCTCGTCTTCTGACTCTATTCTAATAGAGAAGATTATCAGATCTGAGATAAGCTCAATATACTAATACTTGTTTAGGAGTACGTACTGGGTGCTGTAAGAGCAAGCTTTGGCCTAACCTGTGGGTTTAGGTAAAGCTTGCTATGAAATAGGATGTCTCAGCAGAATTTCAAAAGAAGCAGGTTATTGAGGAAAAGAACTATTATCTCTCCACATGTTTCAATTCCAGCTTAAAGTTGGCAATATTATTAACCAACCATATCTTGTTCTTAAATGTCAACCAAGAAACAACCAGCAAATTTGCAAAAAAAGGCAGTAAAATAATAGGATTTCTTTAGCAAGAGTCTAAATGATTTCATTGCTTTGGTCATATGGTTTCTGAGTCTCAGCAAGGCTAAATACCATCAAGCAGGCCAATACATTTAATATCTTGTTAAGGTAAACATTATCTAGAATGAATTTTATTGCCATTCTTAGGATTTAGTGGGCTTAAAGAGACAGAAGTCAAACCTGATATTACTGATTTTCCATTGCCTTTTTAAAGGTATCACCAGAGTCCAAAATATTTTCAAGGTTTTTTTAAAATTATTGCAATAGGATAAATTCTTATTATTATATATGGAAGCTAATCATTTCAGAGTAAACAACAGATGTTTGCACCCTTATTACTGTTTGGTACTGACATCGGTATTAAATGATAATATGAAAACATGTCACAGACGTGAATGATGAATTCAAATGTCAGGAATGGTGGAAAAGGAATGTTTAAAATAGAAAATGTAAGGGTGTTAGAAGTAAAATTATGAGCACCTTCTTCTGGCAGTGTACAATACTACTTTTCTACATGATAATAATAATGAAAATTTCAAGACACATTTCTCTTCCAAAGTTGTTACTAAAACATGGGTGATTAAAATGTTCATTTGATCAATTAAGTAATGACATCTGGTAAAGTGGTTAGTTGTATCAAAAATAGTAAACTTTTTAGATATTATGAATGTAGATAGATAAATAGATAGTTTGATGATAGGTATTTTTGTGTTGTATACCATATTTTCTGGACATCTTTTGATATGTTTCCAGACACTTAAATTTCTATATTTAGGTATTAATTGACTTACCCCACATGCAGTTGCAAATGATATGTTGAAAACATATACCTGCCAAAACCAGTTAATTTTCTCTCAGTAAAGGCCATTATCAATTCTTTAATTCTCGTGGTTAAAATGTATTTGTCACATTTCACTAAATTAAGCGCTCTATGTCTTTTTCTTTGCCATTTTCTGAAAAATGATCAAAACTGATGAAATGTGACCCCAATGCCTTTACCTCAATAGCACAAGTTCTGTCTCCTCTGAACGGGACATCAGCTCTTAGAAAGCAAGCATCTTGTGTGTCTTGTGGATCATTGTGTGTCCTTGGTACCTATGCTGAAGCTTAGTGCCTAGGAAATGTACAATACTCTATGTGTGAATGAGTGAAGAAATGACAGAGTAATAAAAAACATTCAGGATTTTAAAGCTCTCTTTAAAATAATAACTGTGAGTACAGTTTTAAGATTTTCAAGACATTGGAAATACCTTCTAATTCATAACAGTTATGTCAATCTATAATAAAATTTGGAAATAATAACAGTCTTGATAAAGGATTCAGAAAAGTAAATAGAATTCATCTATTCTGTCCACATAGATGTGAACAGCCATCGGTTACTGCATCCTGCCAACCACAAAGGTAAGCCACAGGGACAGTCACCTCCATCTTCTACCCCCTTGCCACTGATTCTTGAGCTGAGTTATTTAAAGTAATTGTGTGTAGACGGAACCATTTATTTCCCAAGATAAAAGAGAAGTTGAGTGACTTTGCAAGTAAAGGAATTGTTGCTGCTGGATGGAGGGTTGTGACTTTCACCTAGAAAAAGAAGGTCAAGATCTAAGACTGTTTCTCCACTGTGCCAATTAACCTGTTTTTTCACAGATACTCGACTCGACTTTTAACCTGGAAATAAATATCCCTGATCCATTACGGAAACCCCAAAAGAAAATGGCCAATTCTTTTCAATTCTGGGTCTAGTGCAGCTGTTAATAATGTGGGCTATAGAAAAAGAGCACAGGGTTCGAGTCTCTGGTTGATCTCTGACACACTAGATGACCCTGGGCAGGTTCCATGACTTTATTGCACCTTTATATCACCCGTGAATAGGTGACAGGGTAATAATTCCCAGTTAATAAGACTGGTGTGAAAATAGTGATCAATATCCAGAGCTCCTTGCAGTACAACTGCAACAGAAAAGAATATGAGGATCATTGCTCACTGATGAAGGGCCTCATGTGGGGAGGAGCAATCCTCCATGCTTCCAGATCTCTTACATTGGCTCATATAGAAACATGAGGTTAAATCTGAGACTATTGAGATAAGTAAGGAAATCTTATAGAAAATGAAGGGAAAGGAACTAAAAAGTATTCTTTCCCTCCTCCATGTTGTGCATCTGTCATGTACTTTTTAGTGTGACCATCGTAACAAATGTAAAAGGTCTGTATTGTATAATTTCACAGGCAAGATTATGAGACTGAAAGAGAGAGATCAAGGGGATTTCCAAGCTCACTGTACTTGTAAGTGGTGAAACTGGGCTCATAACCATGTCTGAGTCCACAGCCTACTTTTTGAGCAAAGGTCAATGGTGGTACATGACCGTACAGCTCTTTGACAGCGCCCATACACCATCCTAGCCCCTGGACTAAGACACTCCTAGCAATCATGAGAAAAGAACTGAATCTCCATCACCCATACTCACAGCTCCAAAAAGAGCTTGAGGAACAAAAGTTTCTTGGGAGAATGTTTAAATAACCTAAACTAGCACTTCTTAAAATTAACCTATGTACCAACCACCTGAGGCCCTTGGGAAAGCTCAGGTTCTGATTAAGGTGGGCTGGAACAGCACCCAAGATTCTGCTCACCTGGGGCCTGTGCTTTGAGTAGCAAGGACAAGAGTTCTCTGTGTGAAAAACAGAAATCCACTTATTTAGAACCTGTTTATAATAGCATGCACTGGTTTGACCTACTTATACCTCCCCCGCTCCACCTTGGAGTTTAAGGGATACACTTCCTTCTCAGATAAATTTAGTTTTTTATGTCAACGGATTTATTTGCTTGGTGCAACAAGATCATTTACCAGTGACCACAGAAACTGGGAAGAGTTTGCAAAATATGAGAATGAGGGAGAAGCACATTATGATTTATTAACATTTGAGTAGGAACACCTAAGTATGTTAGTCTCCTTGAAAGAAAATCCATTGATCTTATTAATATCATACCTCTTTCAACTGCAACATCTGACTCAGACATTCCTATAGAAAGTTGTACCATGGGATGAGGGATAGGAAGCTATATGAGATTAATAAAAATAAAATTTTTAAACTCTCCTGTCTTGGCCCAAAACAACTACATAATGAAATAATAACTTAAAAAAAACACATAAGGGAGGGGAAGCAGAAATAAAGGAGATAAAGTTTAATAGGGCAAGGAAGAGACAGAACCAATGAGTCATTTCAACTTAGTAACATGACTAGAAACTTCACATGACACTTGTTGAGGCACTTACTCTCCATTCCTCTTGTTACCAAAAAGAAGAGGAAATGTCCCCTTTGTTTCCTTAGGACACAGCTCTAAGGGCACCCATGTAGCATTCACTGTCTAGTCCCAAACAGGAAGAAAAGTTTCTGGAAACTGCATTCGGAAGAAAGAAAGCTGAGCAAATTTCTCATTCAAATCTGTCTGCGAATGGGGCAGTGTGTCCAGGTCCACTCTTCTGCAGCCCTGAAGTGCCACCCCTGCTGTGGAGGGCTGCAGGTGTGAGACTCTGCCTGCTGCTGGGTTTATGGAGTGAAATTTTGAATGATTTACCTGTTGGTTAGGCCCTGTTTTCTACCACTTATAAATAATAAAGCTGACATTTTGAGCTTCATTCACACCACCTAATACCCATTTTTAAACTCATCCTAACCTAAAGAGGACATGAAAGGCTGTTAGTTACTGGTCTGCTATAAACCCCTAAGAAGGGCTAACTGGAATATGAAAAGATTCAGTATGATTTGGAAGAAGAATCTGGGCATATTTGGAACTTGTCAAATAAATCCTGCTTTTACTATTAAATGACTCATTAGATGGTTTAATCACTTTTTTTTTTTACCAAATAGATTTGTGTGCTTTTAAGAGGAATTTTCTAATTTTCTCTGTGTAAGCAACTTTATTTTGGAGAATGTAGTTGTGTTGTAGAAAAAGTGCTAAAATTAAAGTTCAATTTCCAGGTAATGCAGTTGACCTGTTGCATGACCTCTGGCAAAAGCTATGAAAATTCTGAAAACTAAAAGATATTGCCAATTGGGTTATTATCTTTCTGACTCAAATTTATAATCTGTTTGTGCATGATCTCTTGAGATTTTTGCAACAGAGAAGCTAAATGAGGTCTGTATAGTCTATTCCAAGTGCATTAGTTTTATAGAGGCTATGAAGTGTATCTGTTAAATTATTTACTGCTTGTCTTTTGGTAGAAAATATCCTTCTGTTGCATTTAGTCTGTTCAAAATATATTCTGATGTTCATCTGCTCTGTTTGTCATTAATATTCCATTCAATTAAAAGATGACATCATCGTTTACATTCTATTTAAACATCTTTTCTAGTGAATATTTTCTCTTTTTATTGTTTAATAAGATAGAAAGCAGATGAATTTAAGTTCAAGCTGAAGATGACTTTTATGTACATGTTTTTATTTTATTGAATGCCTATATAACTTTAGCCAAATGTAATTTTCCAAATTCAAAATTTTAAGTATATGTAAAAAAATGTTTATTCTCCACAAAGTTTATTTGCACCTTTGACTATACAAAATCAAATATATTCTTGACATTTTCCATATAGAAAATGAGAAATGAATTTGACATTTAAAATTCTTTTTCTGTTCCCCCACATCACTCCCAGAAGCTACATTCATGATGGCTTTTGCAAAGCACACCAGTTTGGAGGGCAATTTCTTTCCTAATATCATTTTCAGAATTGAGATAAAATTGTGAAAATAGATGCCCAAGGGCTGCAAGTTGAAACTCACCCATTGACAAGTAGCATATATGTCTCCATTGTCAAACATGTGTCTAAAAAGAGAAAAGATTAATGGTTTTTCATTTTAGCAACCCAGATGTTTTCTGTCAGATTATCTTAATTATTAATAGGAATCTAATTGATATAAATTCTTCAATAACCAGATTAGTACTTTCTCACTGTTTAAATTCTTCTCTATGGTTGCCACATTTAACTATTTTTTAAAATCCCCTCTAGTCGTTCTACATGACCTTCTCATCTGTAAAGAAAAGCTGTAAATATAAAAACTTTGTTTAGAAATACCTTTTACCAAGCTTAAATGCTATTGAAGTCTCATCAGCTAGCAAAAGACAAGTCACACTTCATTTTTTTAGATAGCTCGCATTGTTTTCCATAATGCAATGACTAGAGCTTGGGATGTTTAAATGGTACTTCACAGGGCAGACGTGTTCTAAACTTCTTCGTGATTATACATATGCTGTTCTATAGTGTGCGCTAATCTCTTCTGCCTTGGATGTTTTAACAAAATGGCTGAAATTTTCAGCCATTATGGATGAGTTATTCAGCAAATCTGTAAAAGCAATTCCACTTGACAAGCCTATAGTACTACTTTAAGTGATTGAATCTCTTTGATTCCACAATGGCAAGGTCCTTATTATTCTTGCAGGAATTTTACAAGTTCTAAGAATATTTCCAAAATGCCACTAGCCACATTGCCAAAGAAAGACAGGCAATTCAGTCAGAACTATACTAATTTGATTTAGTGAATCCAGTTAAAGCAATGATTTCTTTCAGAAAGAAAGAAAGAGAAAAAAAAAACTACTTGCTGCACTTTATATTTAAATGCATAGATCTTTTATTAGATTGGGTATCTTAAAGTTCTATCCCATAACATTGCTTTCTTTTCTTCCTTAAATTTATTTTCTAGTAAATGAATAGAAGGCACAAAATTGGTGAGGTCATGAAACTTACTTATTTGAAACACTGAATTGTATACATCCCTTAAAGGCGAAGGGATGTTTTTTGCCCTGAGGGTATTAGTCATGGTCCATAGTTCGTGGGAAAAACTAAGGAAGTCTCAAAATTGTGTTCCTATTATTTCTATTTCTCTAAGACTTTGTTTAAATTCCAAAGTGAATTTTCTATTATTCCATTGTACATTGCATAGGAGGGTACCAACCAACAGCCTTTGGGAGCAACACCTGCAGTTACATTCAAAGGCATGACTTTTCCAAGCAGTGTGTGAGCTGGCCGCATTGTCCCCAAAAGGATAAAGGCCTAGGTTCTTTACCTGACTGGCAGAAGCATTCCAGCACCACGAAAGGACTCTAAACATTGTTTTGTAAGTAATGAGTCCTGCTGGTTTCATCCTGCAAGACATTGAAATCCCACAGGGAAAATGTGGTTAGAAATAAAACAGAGGGCTGGGGCCTTTAATGAGTTTCCTATCCACAGATGCCATCAAGCTTTTATACTATTCATTTTATTTCTACAGCTTCAACAAAGATTCCCAGAGTTGTGGGCCATACTCTTAACACTGAAGTGCATAGAACTTGGCAGAAATCTACACTTCAGAGATAATAACATATCATTCCATGAAATAAAGGAAAAGGCATAATCAAAAAAAGAAGTTAAATATGGAAACCTGTTTTGACAACAAATGAATACAGATGAAGCCAGACAGGAAAGGT